TGACATAAAGTCTGTTCTACTGGGCTCTATTTGCCTTGAATTTTTACAAACTGGTTTATTAACCCAGTTTCTGGCTTCTTTAGTTGCCACAATCAAAACAGCAACTTAGGAGAAAAAAATGAAAGGAGCAAGGCTGGATGACCATGTCCACAGCAAGGAGATGTGACAGCGAGGACAAAGGGGAAGAATGACAAGAATGAAAAGACATGCTGGGTTTTGTGGCACAAGTCTGAAATACCAGCACTCAGGAGGCAAAAAGTGTAGGATCAGGAGTGTGAGGCTAGCCTCAGCTACATAGCAAGTTTAAGGGCAGCCTGGGCTATATGAGACCTTATCTCAAAAAAACAGAAAAGAAAAAAGGAGACCCACAAATGCCTAATAATACAGAATCTGAACTATATAAACAAGTAATACTAGAGTCAAGAATTACAGGTCCAGGACCACATGTAAGGAGGAGACCTAGTTACTGGACCACATCATTTTTCTGTATGACGGGCATGTGAGAGAGCATCGTCTTCATACTTTCATTCTTTTTAAAAATGGTAATTGAATATTCTTTGCCTGATCATAACAGAAATATTTTGAGGCCAGGGAAATGGCTCAGGGCTGTAAAAGTACTAGCTACACAAATCTGACGACTCAAGTTCAATCCCTGAACCCAAATTTACAAAACCTAGAAATGGGGGCACACATCTATAACCCGGCACTTCTACAAGGAGATGGGAGGTGGAGACAAGAAATCACTTAGCAGCTCATGGGCCAGCTAGCCTGGGGTACACAGGATGGCAGAATCAATAAGAAACCGTGCCTCAACAAGGGACAACTCCTGAAAGTGGTCCTCTGATCTCTAAACGCCCACCATGGCAGGCACACAGCTGCACTCACGCACACACACATATAATCATACTATAACTTTTTAAAAGACCTATTTGTAGAGAACTGAAAAATACCAAAAGTACTAAGGTATTTAAAATTGTCATTAATCTGCACCCTAGAGATACCCAACATTTATACTTTAGTCGTGTTTTGTTTTGTTTTTTTAAAGATGTCTTCTGTATTAGTTACTTTTCTTGTTGTGGTGACCAAATACTTAACAAAAAGCAACTTAGGAGATAAAGGGCTTCTTAGTCTCACAGTTCAGGGGAATGCATTCTTTCATGCTTGGGCGGGCATGGTGGTCAGATCACTAGGTAGCACCAACCAGAAAGCACAGAAATGGGAATGCTGACAGCCTCTGGCTTTCTCCTCTTCCTCTTTCCCTGTCGCGAATCCAGCCCATGGGATGGTGCTGCTCAGTCAGGGGGTCGTCCATACTTAGATAAATCTGTCAGGAAACACCCTTACAGACATAACCAAAGGTATGCCTCATTAATGCTCCAGATGCTTCTTAATCAATGAAGTTTACAACTGAAATTAACATGACTCTTCATGTATCATTATGTACATATATCTTTGGGGGGATAACATTTTTTAATAAGATTTGGCTTGCACACATGCATGCACACATGTGTGTCTGTGTGGGCATGTGAATGTTTTTCCTGCATGTATGTATGTGCACAACATGCACGAAGTCACCAAGGAGTTCAGAAGAGGTCACTGGAGCCCCTGGAACTGGAGCTACAGACAGTTGTGAGCTGCCACGTGGGTGCTGGGAACTGAACCCATATCCTCTGCAAGAGCAGTCCGTATTCTTTACCATTAAGCCAGGAATAATATTTTTTAACCTGGCATTATTTGTATTTTCCCAACTCAAAAGCCTTTGTAGAATTATTTTAAGAACTGCATATGCCATAATTTATTCTCCTGTTATTGGATTTGGGTTGATATAAAGTATTATATTTCATGAAATATACAAGAAGCTATTTTAAAATGATCATTTATGAGTTCTGGAGAAATGAAAATTTTCAATGGAACAGTTTATGAATCAATCACCAAGAAAAAAATTTAAAAATTATGGTTTATAAAACTAGGTTATCAAAGACAACAATTAAACCTAATGAACAAATGAGAAATGTGGGGAGCCAGGCCTCAGCCTCTAAGCAGATTTTGGGAAATAATCATTTTCCATGCTCATTTCTGATGTCAGCAATGGAAAGGCTCCTGACTGAGAGCGCTGGACTACTGCTACAAAGTTGTAGCCATTCTCAAAGAAGTACCCATTAAGGACTCGCTACTCAATCCATTCAATAATTAACTGAATGATTATTATTTGATAGGTAATTATCACAAGCTGCATTAGCCATCGATACTAAAGAGCCTTCTTTGCATAATATTCTAGAAAATGCAGTAGCAGCATTTAAGACACTTTACCAAAATGTGAAAAATCAATCACTTCGGGCCGTACCTCACTTTACTCTCTCATTGAACCCATTACCCAATGTCTGCCTTTCCCAGCAAGTGTGACTCACTGGAGAGCAGAGACTACTGCACATCTATATTTCCAGCTCTTGGCATAAAATAGGATTTCAATATAGGTTTGCTAAATAATTAGCTTTTAAAGTTTTTGGTGTTGCACACTGAATCCAGAGCCTTGTACCACTGTATACCACTCCAGCCCCCGAATACCATTTATAATCCAGTTAAGTTTTTTATGTGTATGAGTGTTTTGCCTGCATGTATATAAGTGCACCCATGTCGTGCAATGCCCACGGAGGTCAGAAGAGGGTGTTGGATCCCCTGGAACTGCAATTACGGATGGTTGTTAGCTGTCATGTGGGTGCTGGGAACTGAACCTGGGTCCTCTGCAAGAGCAGCCAGTGTTCTTAACTGCTGAGCCATCTCTCCAGCCCCCACATGTAATATTTTTGATGACAGGTTTTACTTTATGTCTATGTTCCTATCAGGCTCCACAAACTTAATGACTATATAATATTCCACAGTACTCACACAACTTAGAAAGTGATTTTCTTCAGGTTGTCTTTAGAGGTTAACAGTGTTTTTATATTGCATAACTAATGTTGCATAAACATTCTTTCTCTTACAAGTCTCAGAGACATATTTCTCACTGGAAAAAGTAGGCTCAATTCTACAGCAAAGTAATAACTTAAATGAAAACTACTTTAAAATTAGAGAAAGCTTTTTATTCCAAAGGTGGAATTGTGTATGTGTGTGCTCACATGCACGTGTATTGTATGTGTGTCTATATAGGTGCAGGCATGTAGAAGCAAGAGGCTGATGTCAGGTGTTTTCCTCTATTGTTCTCTACTTTTTTTTTGAGGCAGGATCTCTGAACCTGCAGCTTTGTTTTGGCTAGACAAACTGGCCAGCAAGTCCCAGGGATCTTCTGCCTCTGTCTCCTCAGGACTGGAGTTATAGACATGCCACCACACTCAGCTTTATGTCGGTGCTAGGAATATTAACGCAGGTCCTCTTGTTTGCATAGCAAGCACTTTACCCACTGAGCTATCTCCTCAGTTCCCAAAGGAAGAATGGTGAAAGACAAACATGCACAGAAAAAAACTAGAATTCTATTTTAAAGACAAATCAAGTATTCACAGGCAACAATTTACTAGTTATGAAATTGGTCTATAAAAAGTAAACAATAGTAAGTAGGATGGTCTCACACATATTTAGGAAAGAATATGTTTAGGGGCGGGCAATAGAAAATTTGAAGTAACAAGACATCTACTAATTCCAGCACTAGGGGAGGCTGAGGGAGGGTTGCCATGAATCTGAGTGTAGTTTGGGGCTACACAGTGAGCTCCTGGCTAATCAAGACTACAATGTGAGTCTCTGACTCAAAGATGGAGGGAGGGAGGGAGGGAGGGAGGGAAGGAGACAGACATCTAATCAGAGCTTTGGTGCTTTGGGAATGGGATATGAACCATATCTCCAATACTTTTGATGCACAGAACTTGATCAGTTCCCCTTTCCCTCCATTTATAGAATCTAGAGTAAAACATCTGTCTACATAGAAGCATTTAAGCTTTGACCTTACACAAAGGGTGCTATGGGAAAGTCAACTATATTCTAGCGCTATGAGGTTAGTTACTATGCATATTCATTCCTTTAACAAACTTGTGTTGAACATCTAACTGTACCTCTGCAGCATGGCCCTTCATCTATTACTGACCTGCTTTCCTTTGTTTAATGTGGGAGGAGGAGAAAGAAGGAAGATAGGAAAAAGTTCAATATATTATAACTTAATTGTGCCCCAAGTATGATTGTTTACAATTAGGTCTAAAAAGACAACACAATCTCTTAAAGGTAACTTCACTTAGAGAGGAAGGGGGCCAAAGGTAAGCTCAAACAGGTCATGTTGAAAGAAAATGCTATTCAATTTCTAGGGTGTCAAATTATTCATTTAAGGCCACCAAAGTATACCCACAGGTAATTTTGTATTGTTTACTTGCCTTTCCATACCACGCGCACACACATAAAATCAGAACTCGTTAAACAGATAACAAATACATTACTTAAAGCAATTCCATAAGCGTTGTTGGTATATAGAACCTTTCTGTCTCGGGAAGTTCTGTTCCACAGGCTACAAAAGCGCGTGCCATGACAAAGACCTCCCAACACAAACGTACAAAGACACACTACTGAAAACGCCCCTTCAGCCAAGTTCCCAGCTGGCACTTGTGGCACACTCGAGTCGCTGCTGAGGCAGCTGTCACAGGCCAATCACACACACCCAGGAGTGCCAGCGTGACACCTACAGAAGGCAGGCTGGTGGTCAGCGCAGGGCCTTCCCCGGAATAAAGCAATCCCTGAGCACCCTCCTGGAAAGCACATAGCCTGCACGACCCAAAAAACTCCCTTGAAAGTGAAAGGGCGGAGACTGAGGGGCAAGTCCTCGCAGAGCAAGCTATGCAGGAAGAGGGTTTTGTGTGGCATTCGGGGAAAGGAGCCACATGGTGCAACCATCAGGTCTTGCTGGGAGGAAAAAGCACGGCCCGGCTCTGCGGCGGCTCGTCCCCGGCCGCTCCGGCTCCGGCCCGCCCGGCCTGCTCCCGCCCCTCCGGCCACCGCCTCCCGCCGCGGCCCGCCGCAGCTCCTACCTTAGCCTTGCCAGCCTCCAGCTTCCTCTGCCTCTCCTCGTCCTCCATGGCGTCTGCGGGGCGGGCGGGAACAGCGGGACCGGGTGCGGGGAGAGAGAAGTCGGGTCAGAGCGGGCGGGAGGCCCACAGCCACGGGCTGGGCTCTCACTGGCTACTCGTCCCGGGCCGCACGGGCACCGCCGTCACGGCCGCCATCTTCGTCTCCACGTAAACACACGGCGGCGGCGGGGCGGGGTCGGCGTCCGCGCAGCCGCGAGCCTGGGCGCCCGCAGGTGCGCGCGGCCGCCCGCTTCCCAGACCTGGCTCTGCTGCGGTCTCCCGCCTGATGCCCTCCGGACACCTACCGCCCTCTCTCGGCCCGTGCCTCTTCAGAATGCAGAAATAACAGGTGCCTCACGCGAAGAGCCCCAGTGGGAAATGCGATGGGAAGGAGGCAGCCGCCAGACACCAGTTTGTTCACCTGGTTAATTCTAGGAACTGGGAGGACGGCGGCTTTACTACCTCGGCCTGGGAGTCCCTCCCTCTCCCCCTCGCTGGTTCCCGCCCATCCTCGGTTGTCCTTCCAGGCCCACTCCACGAGCTGCCGCTGCCTTAATTCAGTTCTTTGTTCCCTGCAGCGACAAGGGGACACTCCTTCCCCACTCCTTCTTGCCCCCCTTCAGCAATGGTGTTGCAGAAGGACCCAGAATTTGGAATCTAACGTGAGGGCAAAGCCAATCTACACCAACTTTCTAGCTTTAATGACCTTAAAACTGTTACCCTTTCTCTCTGTACCTGAATTTTGGGACAGGCTGCTGCTATTTGTGACTGTCCCTGGCTTGTTAAAACGCCTGAACCAGTGTCAGTCCAATTTCTTCTGTTTTCGTTTTGCCCTCTCCATGACATTTTAATAATTTGTGTGCTTAGTTCAGCTCATGTCTCAGGACTCTGTTCCTTGATAACATGAGTCTTGCCAGTCTTGAAATTACTACAATGACTAGCACGTTAATGTCTTTCCTTTTTTTCCCCCTCATCTGCTCTCTCCATCCTTTTTTTTCCCCCTCTCCTCTCCTCAAATCCACACTTGGGGTTAACTACACATTTTAATGTCTCAGACTGATCATTCCTTTGTTTTGAGCTTGTATAGACTGGAAAATTGGCAAGTGATAAACTAAAACCATTAATTTAACCATAGAAGTGGTGTTAAGTGGGCATAAAAATGAAAATTGGGAGCCTAAAAAGACCTTTAGTCTACCAGAAACTGGAGACTAGTTTCCAATATCTATAATTTAGAAATTGAGGGTTTTTTTTTTTTCCGCCAAGCCCTATATTGGAAACATAATTAAAACACTCAATTATATATTGCTATTATCTCAGCTGGAATTGGGAACTGGGAGAGGTTAGACATTTATAGGAATTTTAAAAAGAGACAAAAGAGAAGTGATTTTCCAGTCATCCATTTCTCATCATTCATCTACACGGAGGCTAGAATGAAGTCTTCTAAAGGTGTATGGTTTAAACACTGGACTGAGTGATTACGTCTGTGTATTGTGATTGTGTAGGAAGAGGAGACCCAGGATATCTGATCGATATTCCTGTTTGTTACAGGATAATGCAGTTCTTGGTGATTTAGAGGCAGAGGATCAGCTGTTCCAGTGTATATTGAAAATGTTTAAGGACACCTGCTAAAGCAGGAGGTGTTTCAGTGTTTCCCTTTATCACTCTTTATCCATATATCCCTTTATGTATGTAAATCATACACGTCTGCTTTACATATATAAGGTGCTCAGTAAGTGCTGGCAGTTGTATGTTGACTTCTAGCAAGCAGAAGAACAAGCACATGGAATGCTCTGGCTCTTCCTTATGGCACCTGGTCATTCAAGTCATCATCATACAATTCATTCATTCATGTCATTCATTCTTCAGTCATCTTCTCAGATGACCTGAAAAAATGAGGTGGTGAGCAGTGGAGGGAAATGATGGCTTAGCGTATTCAAAGGCTCTCAAGTTACAGTGTGACTGATGTGTTAAAGGAAGAGTAGGAGGCAAGGGTGGCTTGAATGGGATGAATGAGATGGAGACTAGTTAGAGATGAAGTCAGAGCTAATAGAAGGTCAGACTTGGAAATTCTGAAGCTCAATGTAAGAACTTTGGCTTTTACTATGCATGAGACCAGAAGCCACTGGAAAGTAATTCCAGATAATCTGATGTATGTTACAAAAGGACATCTGGCTACTATAAAGAGAAAGTGCTGTGGGGGATCAGTAGAACAGACATTTACGAGCTACTTTTGCTTTAAAACAAAAGAAGCCAAGTGTGGTGGCACACACCTTTAATCTCAGCACTTGGGAGGCAGAGGCAGGCAAATCTCTGTGAGCGAGGCCAGTGTAAGTCTATATAGTGAGTTCCAGGCCAGCTGGAGCTACAGGGAGACCCTGTCTCAAAAAGACCAAAAACAACAACAAAACAAAAACAAAACCCCCCAAAACTCTGGCTCCTCATTTGGCCCCACAGGGTGATGAAAAGCAAGGTGACAGCTTGGTGTTTCTACCTTTGTTTTGCATCTCTCCCCTTTCTTTGGGTCACCTGATTACATCTGCATACATTATCTATCTAGAAACCAGTCATACCTAACGCATTATTCCGATCGAGGCTGGAGGAATAAAGAGAAAATAAGGCATGCTATAGCTGTTTATAATGCCCTGTTCCAGGCCTCTGAAAGGTGACCAAGGTTCCAAGCCATTGTCCTACACCTCAAGTCACCTTGGATTCCAGGACAGCAGAGCCTGCGAGGCAGACCCATGCCCCAGATGAGGGAAATTATCCATGATAATAAGGGTATCCCATGGAGCATGAGAAATCATCCCTTGGGAGACAGGTTATTCCCTTGAGCAAATAAGGACTTCTTTGGGCCACCTTGCAGAATCAGAACTGAGACAGTGATGAACAGAGTCATACCTTGACCAGGACTGTTTATGCATACCTCTTGCCCCAATTCTTTATTTAGACCTAAAGCTCATTCAGTACCCTGGAAGATGAACTTGAGATCACTGTTCCTCTTCCTAAAGCACATTATTTAAATCTCTTCTCTCATCTCTTTAATTGTCCTGTCAGGACAAGTGGCTAAGCCTAGTCCTTTGGGACTCTCAGAGCCATGGCTTTTGCCCTAAAACTTCAGTTACAGTTGGAATTGCAATAATTTAAACAAGAGATAATGAGAGTTTGGACCATAGAATAGTAGAAGCAGAGGCAATAATACGAGATCAGATTCTGTATATATTCTGAGCATAGAACTAAAAATGTCAAAGGCACTGTAGATTGAATTGAGTTTTGAAACAAGCGGCCATCAAGATTGACTCTGGTGGTTTTGGCCTGAGCAGCTGAAGTGATGAGGTTGCCAGTAATTGAGATGGAGAAAAGCAATAAAGGAAATCAAGAATTTTATTTCAGACATGATAAACACAGAAGTTAGATGTTCAATACACTTACTAGATATCTGCCAACTTTAGATATCTGAGAATGAAATTCAGAAGGAGCTTCAGCTAGAAATAAAGTTCAAGAGTGGTCAGCATTCCTCATACAGTTAAGGGATTGGCTGAGTCTTTCCACAGCCATACTGTAGAAATAGCTGTTGTTCAATGCAACAGCCATTTAGCCATAGGTGGCTACTGGGTGAGTGAAATGTGCTAGTCTGAATTATAATATAAGTGTAACACCATGGATTTCAAAGACAATATTAGAACAAAATTACTTAAAATATCACATTGCTGAGATGGCTATAGCTCTGTTAAATTGGGATACACATACACACACACACATGTGCATGGGTGTGTCTGAGAGAAAGAACACATTTCTTTTTACTTTTTTTTTTTTTTTTTGGTCTTTTTGGGTCTCCCTGTAGCCCCAGCTGTTCTAGAACTCACTATGTAGACCAGGCTGGCCTTGAATTCACAGAGATCCACCTGCCTCTGCCTCCTGAGTGCCAGCTCTTTTTACTTTTTACAATTTTTATTTATTTATTATTTTTATATTATGCGTATGCATGTATGTAAGTACACCCATGTCATATAGTGTACACAGAGGACAGCAGAGGCTGTCCAATCCCCTGGAACCAGAATTACAGACAGTTGTTAGCTGCCATGTGGGTGCTGGGATTCGAACCCAGTTCTTCTGCAAGAGCAGCCAGTGCTCTTAACCACTGAGCCATCTCTCCAGCCCCTCTTTTTACTTTTTAAAATATTTTATTTATTTTTATTTTATGTGTATGAGTGTATTGCCTGCATGCATGTAAATGCACTTATGGTGTGCAATACCCACAGAGATCAGAAGAAGGCATTGGATTTCCATGGAACTGGAGTTATGGACAGTTGTTAGCTGCCATGCGGGTGCTGGGAATTGGACCTGGGTCCTCTCCAAGAGCAACAAGTGCTCTTAACCACTGAGCCAACTCTCCAGACCTCTTTTTACTTTTTAAAATGTAGTTACTGGGAAACTCCAAATTATATAGGTGGTATGCATTTGTGGCTTGTATTATTTATCTACATACTGTGCTGATATACAGAGCAAGTTTAGAAAAAAAAAACAATGGTTGGATCTTAGAATATTCTATCTCTAAGAGAGATGTTCAGATGAATCAACTTGCTGGGCCTACTGGTACACGCCTTTAATCACAGCACTCAGGAGTCAAAGGCAGGCTGATCTCTGTGAGTTCAAAGCTAGCCTAGTCTACATAGGAGTTCCAGGCTAGTCAGGGCTGCATAGTGAAACCCTGTCTCAAACAAAATAGAACACAAACAAACAAAACAAAGAAAGAAGAAACGAAAAGATAAATCAGCTAATGAGAGTCAGAACAATGGCTAGCTACCCTAGAGGAACCAGTAGCCAAGTGAGGAAAGGGAAGGAAGGGAAGGAGGTAATGATGAACTGTGACACCTACTGATAATATGTCAAGTAAAAATGAGGACTGAGGAAAAGCACTGGGTACAGCAAGATGAAGGCCATTGGAGGCTTCCATAGAGGTCTTTGTAAATAAGTCATGAGTTCTTTCCTACTGAATAAAAATACTGCTTTAACAGTGGCATTCCTTTGGAGAGGAAGGGCCTGCTTCCTTTCACCTTTCTGCAAGGCTATTTCCCTTTCCTAATTATTTTGCAAATATTGTCTTCTCTTTTGGCCCAACACTCTAAATTCTAAATAGAAGCCCCATCTAAATGGTTAAGACATTAACCA